TCAACATTTCGTACATATCTTCTTGAACAAACCAAGTAACTTAAAGTAATTATCATAAACTGAAGAGCTGGGAGGAATTCCTATAAATCTAGGTCAAAAAAAATAACGACAGTGTAGAAGGCGGATTAAATGAAAACTTCTGCCGATTTAGACACTGTATTTGCTTTTCTGTTCCCTCTTATTAACATAATTTAACTAGGACAAGGAATGATCGTAATTATATTTTTACCGCGTGGAATTCGTTCTCCACTTAAATGCTTTAAAACTCGTATTAACATCTTTCGCAGCTTCATTTTCAAGCAATTAAACTTTAGATTGTTTCGTTGCTGAACGTAATAATCTCCGTTATATTATATTCGAAATGCGGGATCGCTTTGACCATTGAAACGAGAAATAAAGTGTTACTTGTTATAATTTTTGAATAATTATCTATATATCTATTTGTCTGCATATCTATCTATCTATCTATCTATCTACCTGACCATTTTATGCGAAATATTATTGAAAAGTTACGAATACGTACTTTTCTGAAACTGAAAATTATTTCTAAAAATATTACGAAATACTAAAAATATCACACAATTTTAAAAGCATTAGCCAACTCTAAAAGTGTCACACTAGAAATAGAACACCAGTAAAGATAAAAAACAAGAATCAACCGCAAACTACTGTCTATTCAGTATGCGCAAGTATTAACACGAAATCGTGAACCAATACACGTGTACCGATAAAACAGCGATGAAACAACACAGCGATTATATGCGATACTCCTCTCATCAATCATCCTCTCGCATCAACAATCTATCTATCATACCCGAAAATTCGGGCAGAATTTCACACATCATTCATTATGTAAGTCTCTCGATAATATCGATTCAATTCCGATAATGTCGCAGAGAAACAGTTCGTCCACATTCCGCGAAAGTAATCGCATACGGACTTACTTCTTCGCGATGATTTCGGTAAGGCAAGTATCATTTTATTACATTATTCATGATATCGATCTTCCGATCGACGAACCTTTCATTTAGCACGCAGGAAAGCAAGAGCTTCCATCGATTCTTCTTATCCTTAAGTGATTAAACCAGCGATCATCCATCAACTCGGCAGACCTGATACTTGCGCAATTGAAATCTGTTTCATTCGACTTCGTGTAAATGAAATCTCAAAATGATTAGAGCCATAAAGAAATTTCTAGCGAATCTGCTCGAGCTACCCAAGAAGCATGGATTATTTCAAATATTTATGATCCTCGAAACGTCAATCGAATATACGATTTCCAAAACTATTCCATCGAGGAACACGATCCTGTCTCCTTTAAAAAATCTGTTCCATTGAAACATTGCTTATCGTGAACTCCGCTGTAAAAATATAACAACGCCTTGTTAAAAGCTCCTATTTCCGAAAAATGAGAAAAAATTCGTACTTCTCCCGTTGCCGATCGCGCGACGATCCTGTGTAATCTCGTGATCTTTGAAATAACATCTGTGACCGCTAGTGTACAATTACGAAGCTGAGGATTCATGTCTCGCGTAATATAATTATTTACAAGACGTTCTTTAGGAGTAAGGGGCTCGTAACGAGCGTTCATGCTTCGTTTCCTGCGGTGTGCAGTTTCCAAAGACCACCGGCGCCGAGACGTTTATGCGTATCAAGCGTTTAAATTGGTTTGCGCGCGTTTACTTTGGCGAACTTCACTGTCGTAATTGGAGCAAAGTCTGTATCATTTTTTTTCTGCTCGCAATTGTGACCAGCGAAGGTAGTCTCTACTCCGCGGGATGTTTGTCATTGTACATTAAAAACTGCGTAATAATCTGGTTGACGTAACTTCTCTGTTTCCTCGTATCTTCTGACAGGAGCTTCCTCTTTGATCCGTTGGTATAAAAACTCCTTGGAAATCTGGTTGACGTTTGTTGCAGTTGCAGTTTCAGCTGAAGACCTCGAATAAAATATTTCTTGTCGAGTGAACATGGAGAATATTCTTCGTGTTTATTGCGTGAAAGTGAAATGAATGTAAAAGACGCTTCTGTTTATCAGTCATTGATTTATGTTCAAATTCCTGTGTCCGATCTAAATACATTGCGTGGAGTAATGATGGAGTACATCCACACTGCTTATTTACGAATCGGTGGCGTGTTTACGTAATAATTGCATGGAATATTATAACATCCGAATCGACAGACAAATTCGTTATTAATTTAATGCTCGGATAAACGTATAATTGTGTCAATACATTGTCCGTCTCGTTGAACACTGGAAGTGGGTATTATGTTCAATAAAGTTGTACTTATACAGAAAATACACACCTGTTTATACAGCGAACACAGTATCTAACTGAATAGATTTTCATCTCGAACACGGTACATTAATTAATTTAGATTTCTACAATGTTCTTAATTCGATCGCAACGACTATCGATATTCGTTTCTAACCACTATTGTGACTTTCATTATCAAAGTAATTTTCACTTCGCGAAATAATTAAAAATGATCATTTCACCTTATTATTTCCAGCAATATATTGTATCGTCATCAAATCGTTAGCTTCGACTCAGGGAGTACGTCGATAACTATTGCATTTTTCACATTTTGTATCTGATTTATGTAATACACATTTCGCTTGCAAATATTTTTAAATAGATAGCTACACTGGACGTATTCTCAAATAGAATTTTATGTTAGACGCATTTTCAAGCAGAAACATTAGCTTTGTAATGCTGACGTTATACCGAACAACGCGCATTATTGTTTATGGCCAGATTAAATTCACCCAGAAACTTATGTTTACTTAAATGCGCTTCCGAGGTAAGCGGGGCTTTATTTAAAATATCAAAACTTCCCACGACATACTCCTCCAATTTGCTATGGGAGGGGAATTTAATGCACGAGAAGTTCCACGTACCCTGTAGCATCCTTGATGCACTTCATGCACCTTGCACCTTGGCGTTGTATAACTTTTAATAGAATTAACGTGCATCAACTGTGTCTTTTGTCAATTTCTGTGTAATTATTCACTACGTCCGTCATGAATGACGAAAGATCTGGTTACACGAGGTGTCGTATCAAAATATTTGAATCGCGTAACGTTGGCACAATCTTCTCAAAGAAAAATTCAAACGTCATTCATATAAACAATTGAAGAAATTAGAAATGAAAATTTCAGTTTAATTTTCGTCGAATAATTCCTCGTTGTCAAACAACAACAGAGAGTATCATGAAAACACGTTAACATATTTATTTAATGCTTCATTCGATAACAACCTTTAACAGCTAAACAATGGTCGCTAATAATTTGTAACAATGTTTCGTTTCAAATTAGCTGATCCATTGTAAAGGGTACTCGCAAGTCATAATGGAACAAAAACATTTCACCGTTCTATATGCAAAACCGAGTCGATACATAATACGAGGTAATATATTTCTGTACATAACACACTTTACCAGAGAATTGACTGTGAATATTCATGAAATATTGTACGTGTGGCTACTTTTATATTTAACTTCTAAAGTATCGACGCGCCCCACGATATTGCACGTTCCGAGACACACCTGTGCGATACTTATAGAGGCATCACGATGCAAGGAGGATATGCATTCCTCGTTTTCGCTCGTAAACCAGCAGATTGGTTGCCGTTTTGATCGATTGAGCATCTGTGAGTTACGCAAGACGTTACAAAGTATTCGGCTGCATGTGACTCGTTCAAATGTAATTTGAAAAATTCCTTTTTCGGTTCGAAACGTTCCAAGTATTTTTCATCGAGCAACTTGCATCGAGGTTACTTAATTCGACTGTAATTTGACGTGCCATTTTAATCGAGCGATCGACTAAGTGTTGAAAATATTCAAGGAGCTCCGTATTTTTAAATCTTTTGATTTAGAGGCTGTAGAAAGAATTGTACTTATACTTACTATCGCTTTTGTATTATCAGATTGTCGAAAATGTTAGAATATTATGATATTCTCTTACAATATTACTATTTCGCAGTAAGTTCTTCGTATCAATATTAGTATTGCAACTTATTATTTTAAAATAAACGTTAACGTTCTATCTGTTTAAATATAAGACCACGAAAGGTTAACACATTATTTTTATGTGGAATATTTCAAAAATATGAAAATTCTCCAGAATACACACAGTTCTTTCGGTCGAGTAAAACTGGAAAAACCCATTCTCCGTATTATAAGTTACAACAGACAGTTTATCTGTTACTAACACTGAAAAATTGATTATTCGTTTTTCCGTGTCTTGAATTTCAGTTAGCGAAACACCCAGCGATATTTCTAACACGGTTTTCTCTCTGGAGAGCCTTGACACAATTATTTCACTGTACGTTTCGAGTGCTATTTTTTGTCACATTTTTAAATTGTATTATGAGAGGGTAATCATTTTTCCCTCTTTATATCTACCGTGCTGAACTTCTGTTATAATTTATTTGCCGTTGCAAATCAACAAATGTTGTCATAATAATATGTTAAAATATCGTATAATTTACTCCACACGATTTCCATTCAAAATGCATTAGACATTTGATTAGAATAGTCCCATGATTGTAAAGTGAGGAATACAGGAGCTTAGAATCAGTGAATTTTAATATTTTAAAATAATACTGTGCGCCGGTTAATTCAATAAATTGAGTAAAGTTACTGGGAGAAATAATTTTTATAGACACTAGCATCAATGACAACTCTTGGTAACAGAAGAACCATTGATGTTTCAAAAAGGATTTCTTCGAAAAGAAAGCTCCGTATTAAAGAACTGTGACACGTTTCCCATTTACTGTTTTACATGCGAATACTGGAATACTAATTAACCGTATTAGATTAATGGCACGAGAAAGTTTCCATGGAAAAGAGTATTTATTTTTGGTCGATCTGATACCGTTTTCGTCGAGATCGTTGGAATTTTCACGATAATTGCATAACTGAATCACAAGTCGATTTATGGAAATACTAAAGTCTGCGCCCTAATAAGGTATGTATAAATATTAAACTCTGACTTACCGATAAAGGTTAGCGTCTCCGAGAGCGTCACGTTATCCGCCATGTTGGTCTTCGAGTGATTCACACGGCGCGTAATGTTCGAAAATGCTACATTTATCGTAGAACCGTTTCGTCCGCTGTATCGCGGCATTTGCTATCGATAAAATTATTGAACACGTTCGCAGAGGCTTCACAGCGGTCAAGAAACACTTTCTTTTCTTCTTAACGGTGGAGAGAACGTCGATGAAGCTTGTCCTTGCATTGCGCTTAATAAGCAAGCATTATAGTTCCATTTTTAAGCGTATCGCGTCGAGTAACATTTGTTTAATCTTCTCAAGAAAATAATACGGTGTAGACTGTGTTTAGCTGATTTGTTCAATTACATTAGCTTCGGCAGTGCGATCAATGTGTACACACGGTAATGAGACACCCGTTCCATGTTGCATTGAAACTTTATGCAGAAGTTCCACGCAGAAAAACATTTTCAGGCTACATTCAAACGACGAATACCTGGATTTCAAAAATACAGCATGAACACTCGATTGATTTAATTTGCCGATGCGATATTACTCAAATAACATTCACCGGGATAAAGAGAACACGATGACGAAGTAAATGAATAACGAAATAAATATCTTGTTTCAATAATCCTTGGTCCTGCATTTTATCGATAATCAGTTTTCTTCGTAATCCAATTTTAAATAAGTAGAAAATGTTTTACAGGGGGAACATCGGTTGTACGAATAATAAAAAGTGACAGTTACATTAATCAATTGCGAATCTTGATTGACAATCTTTACGTAACAGATAATTTTCATTTTTTCACGTCAAATGGTTGATTAACACTCGAACAACCGCACTCGTCAAAACGACGGATTTCAATTTTTTTATTTCTCAGCTGTTGATACCTCAAAAGCGTTAAGTATTCAAAATAATTTAAAAAGTAAATAGTTTCACTTGAATACTGTAATGAATGTCTGAAGAAACTGAAAATAATCTGTTATTATAATTTGTATAGGGATTACATATCAATCGTATTAACTGCTCGGTAGTTCTAGCGTTAAATGAATACTAATATTACAATTACTGACATTAATCATGAATAAGGGTTAATATCGTTAATATTATTGTAATATAATCAAATGCTGATATTACAATTACTAAGGTTACTATAGAGAAAGCTGAAAAATAAATAGTTTCACCAATTTCTTCCCCGAAACCGGAAGAACATCTCTTGTCACAACTTTTATAAGGATTATCTACGTATTAATCATGGGGGTCACCGGTGACCCCCGACCAAATTGAATTATTGCAGTTCACTCGATTAAACGACGATTATTCGAAAACATTTCTGTTTATAAATAATGCTGCCGAATGCGGTGACACTCAGCTAGAGGAACGTGCAACAATAATAATGTAATTCAATCAAATGATTTAATATTCTCTTTTTTCCAAAATCATGCGGCATTCAACGTGTTAATGCGGTAAAACAAGCTTGGCGTCGGTCTCTTGAAATAAGTGTATGGATGAGAACTCTAAAACTATCGTTAAAAGTTAGCGGGAGCGTATTCGGAAAAGTGGTCATAAAGCACCGATGCGTATCCCTCGTTTGATTCATCCTGTTCCCTGACATCGGGACGTCCAACTTTGCTCGTTCAAACTGTGAAATCATGCCTTCCCGCGAGAACTAATCGCCCCGAGAAGTTCTCATAATTTAGACGCGGCCCAATAATGAAACGGGCGGCACAAAATCGAAAATCTTAACGTCGCCGCGCTTCGAATTCGCAACGGCCAATAAAACGTGCCATTTTACCGTTCACTGATTTCAGGAAGCAGAAATTAAGCATCCGAGGGAATGGTGCAGCCGTAAACTTTGCGATCCGTCACGATCGAGGCTATCCCTTTTTTTTCCGACGTTAAAAGGATCGCGGCATAAGATTCTTGCAAATGAAGCAGTCGACTTCGCTGATTGATAAGTTGATTAGACATTTACCGACGCGCTTATATAAACTTCACTCCATGCGAAACGATCTAATTGAACTTAAACCTAGATTTCTTAAAGATTTTTTAATTCCCAGAACGAATTAATGGGAAAATATACGTATTCAGCTAGTTCGCTTCGAACTGATAGAATTTGGCAAAAAAGGATCACGTTTTATATAATTTATTTGTAACTATGGAATATTTTCGTAGCGACTGTTCGTCAGGATTAAATTTCGAATGTAACGTCCACTTATGATTTCAATGTTTGTAATTACTCATATAATTTGAACGTTAATGCAAGTGCTTTTGTGTATGCTTTCAAAATAACCGAATCAATGGCGATAAAGGTATGAAACTCGAGGATAACAAACGATCCCGTCTCTTATTTGATATTGACAACTTTATGACGTTGAGCATCATTAAACTAAATACGTTACTGAAGACTTGAAAAATAATGTACAGGCCAATTACGTTTCAAACGGTAATGGAATCAGCTTAATAAATGTCTTCGATCATTTCATAAGTAATCATTTAAGTAAAGTATTATCCAGTTTATTTCAAACCTGCAGTAAAGGGAGGTAGTTAATTGAAATTGGTGTACGCTATTAAATCAATTTGTGTTTTAGTTCACGAGTATTTATAGCTTCGTTTATCTTGAAAATGTTCTTTCACTTTCAACTTGTTTTAGCGTCGCGATTACGCTATACTTTTTTTTCTGTTCTTCAATGAATCTCATTGATGTACCTATTATTAAATGCCTCTTGATACTGTTTTCGAAGTTTCGACTCGACTCGAGTGTATAATTGTTCGAGAACAACGTTTCATGGATGGTTCTAACTGAAGCACACTGTATACCTACTTGCTCGCAGTCTTTCTTTTTCAAGCATTGCGCAGGGGAAATAAAAAACGACATCAAACACCCATGGAGGACACGCGTCTAACGTCTCTAGGAAATTGCTGGTTCACTACGTTGAATGAAATTTTATTTTTTTTAAATTACTTTTTTAAAGCTTTCTTTCGCTGATTAATATTTTTTAATAGATCTTGCACAAATCTGATTCGATTTCGAATTAATCGTTATAAAGTTTTAACGTGAAGTATAAAAATAAATAAAGATAATGTGAAATAATGTAAATATTATATTGTTGATGTTGAAATCTATAATAAATCTATATTCAGATTTTAAGATCGTCACTGATGTCGGATGCAGAATAAAAAGAATATCTCCAATACTTTAGCAACTATCGGACTACTATTATTCTCAGTAACTATTATTTCCCAGCGAAAAACAAAATTTTCTCAATGTCAAAAATCATCTCGACAATAACTGACTTCGCAGAATTCAAACGCGATAAAATTCCAGCGGAATTTCCGAGCTTAAAAGAAGACTGTTGAATATTCAATACACGACGTCGGCCAACAATCTTTATCCTACACCGGTATCTAAAAAGCTACGATACCTCGAACTGTTTTCGATATCGAGAACGCAAAAGTTTCGTTTCGAAATACATAAAATTATAATCGAATCGAAAGGAAGCTCAAATTCGAATTTTCATTAGAAACTTTAACGTGACGCGCAGCATCGCTTTTCAATGTTTAACCAAACCCTTGGAAGAAAAACGTATTATTAAAGGAATACGTCGCTTAACAATTCATTCCCCGTTTTAAACTGAACTTCACGTTTAACTGCAGCGACACTTCACCCGTATGCCCGTATTACATTTTCAAATTAGTTATCAGTAGTGACACTAGACGATTAGCGCGACACAACTCGCGGCGAGGACCAGTTCCGAACGATCTCAGGGAACGGTTCGTTAATTACACGGTTCGCCGTTCCAGAATTGAAAAGTTGCGATCGTGTTTTACGTACGTGACGAGCGAGCAGATTTTAAACAATTTCTTAGTGTTAATTAGAATATTATACACCGTGGGGAACTCATCACTCCTCGGGAAATTTATCTTTCATTTCTCTTTACTCGATCTGTTTCCAGTCACCGGTGTATACGCTCGCGTTTATTCTGTTATTTTTGAATCGTGTATTTCGCTTCGATTTAGAGCGGCAACTGAGAAAGATTATATCGAAGCGAGCAACAAAGCCCGACGCGGCGAGCGGCCGGCAAACATCGAAGCGCACGCGACGGGTCCTGGTCGCGAACTGAATCCAGGACCAGTTTCGTAGGAGTTCGAGCGACAGCTCACCTCTCTAGCCTGGCCAATCGTCAGCTGCCGGCTATCTATCTTCCCTTCTTGTAAAAGGCTGCCGTGTTTACGTAACGCCCAGCTTATCATCAACATCATAATTGCATCCCCCAATCAGCCCCCGACGTGAAACCACCGTGCACTACCCACCTTCATTTTTCATCGTTTAACTTTTCGACCAACGAACCGTCCTTCGTTCCACTTTCCAACGAAACTTCGATTAACCCGTTAACCTACGATCTCGTAACTACAACGCCGGGAATTAAATATGAGGACCGATTAAATTCTGCACGTCATGGTTGGTTTTCGAGTTACACGGTTTTACATGCGATAATCCATAATTTCGATTTACACTAATTTGAACTCAAGGGAATCGAGATTTATTTAGCTTTATTTCTTTCCGTTTGAGATCTTCCTGGCGTGTTGTCTTATGCAGAGGGGTTGAATGTCACAGAATTTCACTCAAAGAAATATGCAAAATGGAGGATATGTTAATATTGTGTTATTTAATTGGATTATTGTTATTTACGGTTATCTTGCCGAGTGTCGTATTAGGTTGAATTATTTTTGATACAGAATTGCTTTCGAATAATCGTCGTTGAGTTGATTATAGCAATGATTGAAATGAATAATTAGGTGTGACGATACGGTTGAACGATAGAATAATCTCTCACTGCTAAATTAAATAACTGATTCGTTTCATAAAGTGGGACCAATTCGACGATACATACGATAAATTTTTTCATTTCTTAAGTTTTAGCAAGGTAAGCAGTTTGGGCAGCTATACAAACACGTTACAGCTCTGAAAGTTTACGATCACTTCTAATATTCACGGTTTATGGGGGGAAATAAAGTAAAAAAGATAACCAACTCAACGTCAATATTTCTTCCCTTTACTAGCTCCGTCGAGATTCTTTTTATCCCATTGTCTTTTATTTACTTTTATCTTTCATTATAACGTTTAATTGGTTTCTTCTTGAATCCACGAACCTCTACGAATCATCGGATTTTCCTTTTTCTTTATTTAATTGCGTTTTCTTGACAACATTCTTGTTAAGGAGTGGGGAAGCCGTTTCAATGAAATGGATCTCGAGAAATTTATTCTTTGCAATTTTCTATACTTGTACACAGTCACTTTGAATGGAGTTCAAGAGTTCAAACCTCGTTTGAATTTTTCGCGCTGAACATTCCAAATTTCCATTTTATCAAATAAGCAATCCTAAACCTCTGAGGAATAGCCTAACTTTCCACAGTCGTTCGTTTGAAATTCTATAGTTTCGCGAGTAATTGCTGAAAATTTCATTAAGAAATTTTGGAACATAGCACAGAATTGAATTGTGAAATTTATTATGTCGTACATTTCTAATTTCCTTCGAAACGAGTTATTGCGAACAACAAGTCCTCGAATACAATTGTCTATTTGCAATTTTCGTTCAATGCTCATTTTATCAAGTTTTTATTGATTAAATTATTTAAAGAAATTTTTAACGAGATATTCTTTTGGAACATTGATTTTTTGGTGCGTCAGTATATAAGTGACCTCTTAGGTGTTCTAAGAGACTACATTACTTAGATAAGGAAATTATACAGCTTTATCGTGCATCGTACGTTAGCCAGGAAAGTTAACACATCGCTAATTTTCAAAAAACTGGATTGTGCTGACGGCTATTTTCAGTGAGATCAGCTTATATCACTATTTACGGAGAAATTCAGATATCAAATTGTTATGTAATATATTCTAAATATATAATCAAATCGAATCAAATTTAATATTTTTTTAAATGCTGCGATAATTAGCAAAGTTTCATGGCTAAGTGTCTGTATATAAAAATGAGATTTCTCGTTACCGGTACACAAGGTGTTAATTATTCCTTTAGGTCGTTAAGTTACTTCAAGGTAGGAGAATAACTTTAAGAGTGAAAAAGTCATGCAAAATAGCAGGTCGAATAAATAATCTGAATAACACGAGTGCAGACTGGAAGCAAATTTCTCTATCATTTGTATGATTGCTTTCAATGAAATCGAATCGAGCCCAATTTTTCCGCTATTGTCCGATATCTGTTCTATAACATCGCATCATAAGCTTCCCGTGATTCCGTTTCACAACAGAACTTCGTTAGCTCCAAAAATTCCATCCTTTCTTTAAACTTCATACTTCTGCTGGAAAGTTCGATAGAAGTATTAAACAAGTTCTATTTTTCTTTCCGAGTTAACACGCATTTCTCTATTTTCTTATATACGTTCGAAACGACGAGGAACATACGAAAATGATTAGAATGTACATTTAGTGATTTTCAATATCAAATTCTGCGTAACTTTCTTTACGGAACGATGAGGAACATACAAAAATGATTAGAATGAAAATTTAGTGACTTTCAATATCAAATTCTATGTCACTTTATTTACAGAAGTGTATACGATCCAGTGATTCGTGTCATTAGCAACCTCGTGTACAACACGGAATGCAATTTAATATGTCAATTGCCAGTTGCCAATATCAGTCAGTTGCAACAACCATTTCTATTTGAACCATCAAACTACTGATATGATGAAATTTAACATTGACATGTATCTGAAATGTCTCCTCAAAATCTGATATTGAAATATTATTGCTGGAGAACACGTGCTTGTAGTTTTCTCAATTGTCTTTAGCACTGAGAGAAAACATAATCCTCTTTAACTTCTGTCTCTCCATTTCCGAATTATCATCGACTTTCTTAATTAAAGTATTCCTTTTATGATCATCGTTACTGCGAACTCTGTGCGAATAAGATAAAACCGACCTTCTTTGCGCACGCTATTTGTAACAAGATAGTAAAGAATTTCCTTTCCGCCCTCGATCAGGCGAAGGAAAGGATAAAAATCAGTTTAAATCCTGTAAACAAATACGCTTGCGTACCAGATTTCATAGAACACTTTGTATCGGAAAAGATTTATATTTGCGGAATCCTCCCCAAGGAAAGATTCTCGTAGATAGAGCTGACGACTTTGAACGTTTATTTAACGTTCTTCCCATTCTTCGAAGGATTCTTATGGAATCGTTATACGTAAAGCAAACTCGCTAATTACTAATTATCGTTACAAAGAATCACAGTTACGAAGCATAATCATTTTCTCAATATAATTAGGAGAAAGGTAAATGACTTGTAGTGTATTAAATTTGAAGATCAAACATCTTTCGCAAATGTAAAGACATTAAACAATTTTGCATTTAACAATCTCTTGATTTCTCTTTAACAAACACGAGTGCATAAAATATAAACTAGAGAAATTTTCTAAAGATTCAAGAAATCCGTTACTTTTCTTTCAACTTCCTCAAATTCGTAAGTGAATAAATTAGTTTTTACTTGATCTCTGTTCCTTTACATCATTTCGAGACATGTTTATTTTGCATAAGTGTCCACTGTTTGTTGTTACACGCCAGCATGTCCCTCTACCGAAGCTGTCATATATCAGAATGTTTGACACGAAGACGTATTATCGATTTCGATTCCGAAACTCGTTCAATTTCTTCCACAAAGTCGGACAACCATGAGACACATGCCAATTCCTTGGAATCCGATAGGTTGGCTTTGATAACACCAGGTCGAAAGGCAAACGTTCAATACATGCATTCAATTCCTATCAATACCTTCACACGAGTCGATAAAATATATTTTGTCGCGTTGTATAAAAGTATGGCTCGTTGATACAGGACGATTCTATCAAACGTTCGGAGAATAGATCCATTCCAAATGGAATTAAAATGAAACAAGACACGCGAAATTAGGTTAATTTCACCCGAATTAAGCTTTGAAAGATATTAAAGATATTAAAGATATTAAAGATATTAAATTTTAATTTATAAGTAAAGATCGACCACTGCCAAACTAATCCCAAAATTAAACTGCAAATGAAAGACTCTGAAAACGAACACGCAGATTTTGATCAACGTTATCATATCAACGTTACATAAAAAGTATTCGTAGCGAATAATAATTTGTCCAAATAAAATGAACAATGTAATTCTCGTGTACCTTAAATCAAATATTTCTGACTGTCACAGATATTTTTCATGGAACGTAGCCTTCAGTCTATTCAATACACCCTTCGATTTCGACTCGAGAAACAAGGAACAATCATTCTGTCACTGAAACAGGGAAACGGGACACCGATTATTTTAGGTACGTTATTTATATTTTCCTGTAATTAGAATATACCAGAGGTAATTCTTTGTCGATGATATTATACGGAAATGCGATATTTACCGCGAATGTTCAAACTTCGACAGAATGTCGTTTGAGGGATGAGGGATCATCGACGTCGAAGGACACAGTTACGTACGAACCTACGACTTCCAACGGATTTTTGTAGTTGAATTCATTAGTGAAGAAGAGCGACGTTCAAAATTACGATTAAAGATAACGTGGTGTCCCATTAGAGGTAATCAATTCGATTCGAATATTATTTAAACGGTTAATGATTGACTACGCGAAGACATAAATTTGTCGATTTCAAATACATGTTTCTAAAATATTTCAAATAATTTGGTCTGGTAAATTTAATGAAATGGACTTTCTCCTCTTCTCTTTCACAGACAAAAGGAGTCCTTTGCGAATCCCGGACGTCAGCGTCAATTTTTGGTGGAGTCGACCGGCCAAAACTACGATGGACATGGATAAAGAGTTCAGACGACAAAAATCGGTGAGAGAAATTATTTTAATGAGAATCACGAAAATTAAATAATTCTATACAAAATTTCGTCCTTTCATTAAACGAAGATGAACTAACTTATCAAAAAATAACGACAAGTTAGTTTAGGAAACAAGGAATTAGTAGAAAAATAGTATTTCTTGTTATGAAGCAAACCAGGTGATCATCAAATTAACAACGAAATTGCTAAATATTGCTTTACTGTGTACTTTTAATTCACATTTGTTACGATTATTTGAAAATCCTCAGTTATCGATTTATGGTGGTTAAAAAATGAAACTGACAGTTCACGTGAAAAATTGATGTAGGTAACGACAGAGGCAACTCGAGCGGATGAAATCAACAGGTCTGCACCGCCAATGGAACAACACGAAACAATTAAAGACTCACAATCGGCTGCTTTACGATTGGCATTAAGTAAGCGAAGCTATTGTCCAATAATGAATATATTCTTGCAGTCGAAAATTTATAATAAAAAATGATAGTGAAACACGGCAGTTTAGCGTTGCGAGAAAGAAGGGGGAATGTAGTTGCAATTATTTTTGCGTAAATACTTTAATTGCAGGCGGGAACTTTACAGAGAAGTGAAACTGCCCTCGTAATCTGTCAATTGTTTCGTGAAAATTGCGAACGGGTGCTACAGTGACTCATTTATCAACGTCGTTGGAAAATAACGTCGTCTAGAAATCACATAAACTAGCTTTTACGATTACGTGTAAAAACTCGCGGAAGGTTTGCGTAAAAAATCGTAAAAGTTTATGCGATACGACACAACAGTAACAGGCTGTTGTGCCTTTTAATATTTTCATTTGTTTCCTGCAACCTTCAAGCTGCTGTTCATCTAAATCATATTGATGAACTGAAAGTGAAATTCCTAATATTATATTTCTATCATTAACAGGTTGAATGCAATGGTACTCACTATAGATCACTCGATTAAACGATGATTGTTCGAAAACATTTGTATATTATAAATAATGCTACCTAACGCAGTGACATTTAACTAGATGAACGTGTAATAATAACGTAATTCAATCAAATGATTTAACACTTCATTTATTCCATTTTGTGTATTTTGCTCTGTGAAATAGCGCAGGACTAAACGCGTTAACGCTAAAACTACCACCCGAGTTAAAATGATCCATTCCTGAGGTTTTCCTTTTGCAATTATTAAAAAGACAAATGCTTCTCTAATAAGGAGTTCTTAAAGAATTCGATTCAGCGCCGCAGAAACTGAATTGTAAATCAATTAAAGTCTCCGTAGATGCACTCTCATAGTTTTTATAGAGACATTTCAAATACCTACTCCGTAGCTTTAGTGTGCAATTTCAAAATCAGAAGTCCTATGAAAATTTGTAATCGCTTCAAACGGAAACAATTACGTTCGTTCAATCGCGACTATTTAATGAGCAAGTTGCGCAATATCCCTGTCACAGATACCAATTATACGGAAGCTGGTTAATGATATTCCGTGTTTGTTAATCTTTCAGTTTCATTAGGTACGATTATTCATATTGTATTCAATCGATATTGTTCAATATCTCCTTAGACATCTGTTTGTGTTAGATGCGGGCAAAGAGACACCGGAGAAGAATGACCCAGACCAGTCGCCGATGTTGCCACAAAGGATGTCTAGAACTGAAACTGTCAGGCAAGATGTGAGAAAATTGAAGACTGTCACGTTGAATAGAATGGGCAAAATGTTTAAGCAACGCTCGCAGACCCCAATTGCAGAGAAATCATCTTCGTACAACCCCAGGGTTAGTGACTTGTTACTTTAGCAGCAAGTTTATTCTTTCCATTTTAATGAATTATTATCGAATAACACGAAATGCAACAGTGCATTTATATATATAAATATATATATATATAAATAAAGTTATATATATATATATATATATACTCATATAACTGCATCAATCAAAGTCAATATAAACATTTAACAACGTTTGATTAATGCCAAAGAACGTTTATGAAACTCAATATAATTGAATTAATAAATTCAATGTAAGCCTAGTATTAATAGAGGTAAACATTGTTAAGCCTTAAAAATACTGATTTCATTGTGATCTAATTTCAACGATAATAAGAGATTATTTGGCATAAACGACGAAACTTAGATGTTTAAAACTGTTACTAGAGCGCTGCGAAATCAGTTGAGAACTACGATGAGCAGCCATCGAAGAAGGAAAAAAGCAATTCTCTGGGAAGAATGTTGAAGCTCGTGGATAAAGACGGCTCACCGAAAAAGCTGTTTCATCCTCGAGCCGGATCCTTGAGCCGTATGTTACGTCGACATTCCAATAACGAGAATAACGATGAGAAAAAGGATATAGACGACACCACACCTGGCATTTTCTCGAGGATGTTAAATCAGTTAAGAGGAAAGTATCGAAATATTAATTCTTCTTATCCCGTGAAGTTTGATAGTATCATTTGTGGCAAACATTCGTTAAATTTGTCAGTTGTCTACTAAACGCGAATTTTCAGTTTGTCTTTTGTTCCCTAATTAAATGTAATAATCCCATATTCGCTGTTATTCCTGGTACGCTCAAACAATCTCATGATTTACAACGTTTTTCATTTTGATCTCGTAGTTCAGTTTGGAGATTTTTATTTTGATGATTGCGTATTATACATTAATGTGAATGGAATGAAAGTTCTCGTCGCCAATTGTATTTGTCACGTTTAGGTCGACCTCAAAGTGGATCCTCGGTCAAAAGGAACACGGCGGCAGGAAGTAAATCGAGCTCGTTACCGCCGAAAGCGCCAACAAATTCGAGAATGTCCAATTTCTCGTCATCGACAACGGTTGCGTCGCCTGCGACACAGACCCAGAAGTCGCTTCAGAAATTAGTTAACCTGGAATATTCTGTTTAAGGCGTAACGATCTACTATATTGAAAAGAAATCTGCATTCCTTCATTCTCACGCGCGAATCACATTTTCGATTTAAGATTCATTGTGTGTAAAGAAATATTTAAATTATATTGCAAAAAGGGGTTACGTTGAAAAACCAGCACGCTACTCAGGAACAACTTACATCTGTGTATATAAATTTTAGAAATCGTAAATAAACAATTCATTCATTTTATCGTATGCGTACCGTTTTCAGTATCTTACAACGTCCCTTGGAAAAGGAACATTTTTGGCTTTATACTAGGCATTACTTGAGTATTAACCTTAAGAACAAAGAAGAATCGCCTGAAGTAAAGCACGGTAAAACTCATTACATTGATACAATAATTAAATATATAAAGGTAATAACAGTGAGAATCTGAATATCATCGATAAGGGACGAAAGATGGGGAATGCCTGGGAATAATGAAGATTCCAAAGTTTTACTATCAGTTTACCATGAGTCGCCGTTCGCGAAGGAGCTCTCTCTCCCCCCTCTCATCTCCTAGACAATCAGTGACACCCTCAGGCATTTGTGAATATTCCGAGGCTTTGTTGGATTTTTTGAACAATGTTGGACAACGTTGAACAGCGTTTACCACTGTTAATTAGTGCTGAACGATGGTGAACGATGCTGACAAATGGCCATTCATGCCAAAAAATACTTCCCGTTTCTCTGGAGCTTTGACCGGAATGTGACAATGATTGGAGAGTCGCATGTTCTTTTTACTCCGGTTACTGATCATGTCATTTGACTGTTACGTACGGAGTTTTCCTGCGTTACTTTCCCTTCTCCTGAAAACGGCATGCTGCTCTAGGAGAGCCCTTTCGTGGGAGTCCACTAACGAGAAAATCAAAAGCCGTGCACACATGTACCATCATTTTTAGTAAATTTCTTGGATATATAAGGGCCACCGACTTGCTCATCGCGGTTCATTTCGAGTCATGCAAGTCGAAAGATACACAGTAAGATCGGGTACCTAGTCTCATTTGAACATAGTCTAACAGTACGCTTAATTACTGCTGAAACCAACCCCCGTATTTCTCAGTGCGCTAAAACAGAGAGAACGCGACTTAAAGTTCGCGACACACATTAACAACTGTACTGCAGAACTTTCACCCAGAATATATTCTGCACTTCATTTCAGTACAGACTCAAGAAAGAAGTCATCCGCCGTGAGAATATATTTAAGTGCGATACCGATAAATGCGTTTAAAATAAGATACAGAGTTAGAAATGGAGGTCGATGGAATTGAATTTCCATCCACCCCCCACGGTCTCATTCGCAGCAACCTCCACGTGGTAGACCAGGAAACTAACGGCATCGCCGATAGAATAGTTCCTATCGAGGATGGTGCTAGGCTAATCGGCTGCGAGATTGTATAAAATTGTATTAAAACATTGTGCGCCGATTAAATTTCAGCTACTAAAAATGCGATCGTCGGTGATTATATTGATACATTGTTAAACATCAATCAAACCGAAATTTCTAACTTAAGAGAAAGAATAAGGAATTAGATTTTGTAGTTTTACTTTGGATTTGTGTTATACATATGTAAAATGTTACATTAACGTAGGATTAACAATTAAATAATAGACTATCCCCCATTATCGCGGGGCTGGCGCGCAATGCGTTAATAAAAAAATCAAGGTTCCTATAATATCGAGTGCAAACGGTTGAACAAGGAATTGTTTGTAATGTTGACGTCAAGGAGGTCGCGAGTATGGTGGGGACCTTCGACCTTATAAGGACAGTCTTGACAGTGGAGGGCTCAGTTCCTCGCGAACTCTTCAACTGTGAAGATCGGGGAGGACCAGCAGACCCTCCTGGACTATCCTGGACTATCCTGGACTATCCTGGACTACCCTGGACTACCCTGGACTACCCTGGACTACCCTGGACTACCCTGGACTACCCTGGACTACCCTGGACTACCCTGGACTACCCTGGGCTACCCTGGGCTACCCT